GCATCAGGACCAAAGCTCAGACAATGAGATGGGTATTTTGAAATTCCAGCTGTCTTGGAAGCCTGGCCTGGTTTTTTCTGTGGTCAGGAGTCCAGCCCAGAAGCCTTTGTTCCTTGGACAGACTTGGCCTTCGAGAGGGCCCAGCCCCTCAGTTTGTCTGGCCAGGTTTAAATGTCTGTGGTGGCCCGAACTCAGCAGCAGAACTGGAATATGGCCAACCTGCCAAGACCACAGGCAGACTCCTCCCCTCCCCAGCTCCAGGCAGAGAAGTCCATGCACCCAGTGGACAGAGCCCCTAGGGTAGATGGTAGCTACATTGCTACCTGCAATCAGCTCCTCTAAATGAGTGACTGAGATCTGTCCTGGCTTGTGCACTGCCCTGAGCCCCGGGCAGTCCTGCCAGCTTTATCGGGGAGGGTGAGGCAGGGGACTTAATTCAAGTTCATGTCAGCGAACATTCCCCTGACACCAGCTTTGCACCAGACTAGACCCAGACTTCTGGGGGAGAATGAGAGGCCCATGGCTGCCCTCAAAGGGCTACCAATCTAGACAGGGCCACCAATCTAGACAGGGCCAATGGAGTCATCTCAGGTGACCATCACCTAGAACAGAGACAACACAGAAGAGGCCTGGTAGCCTCCAGGGAGCAGTGGATCGAGGTGAGATGGGATGGTACTGGAGGATCCAAACTGCAAGGCCAGGGAGTGTGGTCTACCCCATAACTGGTGAGGAGCAAGGTTTTTTTTTTAAATTTTATTTTTGTGTGTGTATACCATCAAATCAGATCTGACTGGTACAGGAGGAGATTGTCCTTCCTTCTCCAGCAGAGCATCTGGTGGATTCGAACTGCACACCTCTGGGATTGCAGTGCAGCTTCTTGCCATGAGGCCACCAGAGCTCCCTTAAGGAGCAAGAGTTTTGTTTTTTGTTTGTTGTTGTTGTTGTTGTTGTTTTGCTTTCTAGGGTCTTCATTTAATGTAATATTTTGCAAAACCATTACTCCTTAGTGCTACATAGTATTCCATTGTGTGAATGCATCACAATTTCTCAATCCATTCCTTTATTGATGTACATTTGAGCTGTTCCATTTTCTTGCTATTGCGATTAATACTGCTATCAACACAGGTGTACATATCACTGTTCCTGTGTCAGTTCTAAATTCTTTGAATTTATATATATATATACATACAATGTACATATACACATAGAGTCACTATACATCTCAGGTAACTCAATGGCACATAACAACAGTAACATACTATGACAGGTTTGGAAACAGGAGTGGCATCTGCTTCCTAAACAACATGCCTCCAGAAACTCTATGTCCTTCGATAGATGTCCATAGTTGTAGAGGGGAGGAGCAAGATTTTAAGCAAAAAGATAACATCTTCTTTTTTTTTTTCTATAATTATATTTTATTAATTTTCATAAACATTTACAGAGATTTTGGGCTTCCACTCATTCATTGTTGCACTATTCTCTCTACCCTCCTCCCAGTTTGTTCTTGTCCAAATGCCACAGTGCTTGTCAAAGCCAGTTCTGATTAATCTTCTTTGTCAGTGTGTCCTTTGCCATTCCCTATCACTCCTCCCTGAGAGAGACTTCACCCTGAGTCATAAGGAAAAGGGGACGGCGTATTCTCTTAGCTACTTCCTGCTGAAAAGGGACGCTGTGGGTTTCAGGGTGAAGATCTTCTCTCACTACTCTAAAGGGCCCCTTTGGCAGTAGGAAACACATAGACTATTATGGAGATTGATTTTGGAATTCAGATGCACTCTTATTGATTGTGCTTGGCTGTACATGTACATATCCTTCAAGATGTATCATGGGGGTGTTGCAACCTAGAAGACACAAATTTGACTAACAAGTTATATGTACATGAGTCCAAAAATTATGGAAAAGTAAAAGAAAAGATTCTTTCATTGTTTTACAAACCCTCCCCCAGGTCCCCTCCACCATGTAGCCCTCGCTCTAGTCTCCTGTGATGACAGAAATACCCAGTTACATCTCTCTTTTAGACGGTTCTCTCCCTCCTCTGCTTCAGTGCAGTATACATTATTGAACCCATCTTACTCAGTGTCTCCCTAACCCCAAGGACAGTCCCATTCTACAACAGTGGCATCATGTAATATTTGTCCTTTAGATAACATCTTCTAACTTACTTTCTGTTGCTTATTGTTGAGTCCTCATCGCATGGTGGCACTTTTCTGGCATTCTGGCCACTTCCTGTGGAGGAACCACAGTGACATGACACATCATGTATTTGGAGAGTGGGACTCTATCAGCTGCTCTTGAGAGAGAGAGATGCAGAGTCTCCTGTAGATATTTATCCTTGGAAATCCAATGGAGGTCGCCATGAATTGAAACTCACTCAAAGGCATAAGGCTGGATTTTTGGTTTGTGTTAGTACTTTTGTGGAAGAGGCCTGGTAGTGCAGTGGGTTGAGAGTTCATTTGTTAACCAAAAGGTCAGCAGTTCAAATCCACAGCTTCTCTTTGGGAGAAAGATGAAGCAGTGTGTTCCTGTAAAGATTGACAGTGTTGAACACTCTGTGGGGGATTCTTCTCTGTCCTACAGGGTTGCAATGGCTATGGGTTTGCTTTGGGCCACTGTGTAGCTACTCTGAGCACCTGCTCCGCAGATGAGGGCTGAGGCCCGCAGAGATGAAGCAACTTGCAGGTGGCACAGCCAGCAACAGCTCGAGCCAGGATTTGAACCCATGTGTGCTGAATACATTCTAGAGGCTGGCTTGGAGGGATAGAACAGTGCTTGGCTGAGTGTGAGTCAGGGCAGGTGCAGGGCTTGTGAGACTGAAAGACGGCCCTGAAGGGTGTGGGCGACTGGCTTCTGCTGTGCGGTGGGGGTTTCAGGGCTGTGACCTGACCTAACGAGACCTTGAGCAATGAAAGGACTTCTCACCCGTCACTTCTGGAGAGCCAGCTACCTGGGTCTGAGGGCTGTTGTCTGACTGCCCCCTGCCTCCAGGAAGCCCACTTTCTTGGGTATATGACCTCTGGGCTCCAGGCTCAGAGAAAAGGAAGAGCCCAGGAATCAAGTCACCATGGTGATTCCACCCAAGCCCACTTGGTCCTGGGCTGCTGAGCAGCAATGAGGCCAGAAGAGCCACTAGCTACTCCCTGGGGTAGACTGTACCCGGAGCGGGCTGCACCTAGGGTAGACTGTGCATGCAGTGGGCTGCACCTGTGGTGGACTGTACCCAGAACGGGCCGCACCTGGGGTGAACTATACCTGCACTGGGCTGCACCTGGGCTGGACTGTAACTGGGCTGCACTGTATCTTGGATGGACTGTACCTGGTGTAGACTTTACCTAGGGTGAATTGTAACTGGGGTGTGCTGTACCTGGTGTGGATTTCATCTGGGATGAACTGTAACTGGGGTTGACTGTTCCTGGGTGGACTGCACCTGGTGTGAACCCTGATAGCCACACAGACCTTGAATAACTTGGCCGTGAAAGGAGAAAAGGGTAGAAATGTGGGGTGGGTTGGCAGAGAGACTCAGCAACACCCTGTCCCACCTCCACATTATTCTGGGGGGTGGGGACGTCTCTAGGCCCTCTGAGCCTTGCTTTCCTCTCTGTGAAATGGGGTGATAGTAATGAAATGATAGGATCATTAAGCTCTTAGTCCAGGGACACGAGGGGACTTAGCAAGTGCCAGTGTCTCTCCCAGGTGTCCGAGAAAAGGGGGTAGTGTCAGGGACCCAGCGGATGCAGCCCAGGAGCCTCTGGTTGTGAGGAGAGCGTGTGTGCACAGACAAGGAAGGTCAACGCGGCCTGACTGTGGTCCCAGGGCAGAGCCTTTGGCACCAGGCTCTCTGCCCCGGAGAATTTTCTGACCCTTTCTTTCTGTGCTATGAAGGCAGGTTTCTGGGAGTAGCGTGTGGCATCCATTCTACAGAGAGAGGAGGAACCCCTCAGAGTTCTGCCAGCTGTGGTCCTGGTGCTGCTGCAAACCCGTCCTGGGCCCCATTGCTCCTTGGCTCCCCCTTACCCATCTTGATCCCAGGCCCTGGGCCCTGAATGCTGCTCCCCCCACTTATCTTGATCCCAGGCCCTGGGCCCTGAAGGCTGTTCCCCCCACTTATCTTGATCCCAGGCCCTGGGCCCTGAGGGCTAGAGGAAAAGCTGTTACGGCAGCACAGGAACCTGAAGGCCCCCTGATGGGCATTGGGCCTAGCCATGGGTGCCCTGCTAGCCCCACTCAGATGTTTTCTTTCAGGTCTCTGAAGCTCTGATCTGGCCCTCCAGTGCAGGGAATCTTATTCCATTGCCTGCTCAGGATTGTGCCCATTTTACAATGGGGAAAGCTAAGGCCTGAGAAGTCGGTGACCCTCCTTGGTAAGGGTGACTGATCGCTCCCCTTCAGCCTATATATCTTCCACAGGCATAGGAGCCTGGCTGAGGTTTGAAGGAGGAACTGGCTCACAGCCAGGTGGCCGTGGCTATTTCCAGCAGCATCTTCTTAATTGAGGGACCCTCCAGCTGCCAAGGCTTCAGACACGTGTGTGTCTGGTATTCAGGACGTTTTCATTTGAAGGAGAAGGATCTGGGCCACCCACCCCAGGCCCTTGCAGGTGCCAGCCATGGGCACACTGCCTGCTGGAGTAGGGGCTGGCTTACGGCCACTCTGGGGGACCCCCCCCCGAGGGTCACCACTGGACATTGGTCTGGGTTGCCCTGTGCCTGGCAGGCAGGCATAGATTCTTCTCGTAGTTGGAGCTTGGGGTCGGCTGGGCTGGGAGAGGAGCCATAACAAGGGAGCAGTGGCCGGGTGGCTGGAGGGCTGGAGGGCCAGCACCCGCCCCAGTGGGTTACATAACACTCCTCTGTCTGGCTGGCAGGATTAATTCCTAACAGCCTCTGCCGCCGACCTGGTGAGCTTAGCCGTGGCGCAGCGTGCAGAGCTGTTTCTCACGCGAGTGGCCACTGGCTCTGAGTCTGGCCCAGGGGTGCCAGCTCTGTTCCCGGACCCACTTCCAGCCATGCAGCTGGGTGGCCCTGGGGGTCCAGACAGGCCTCCACAGGCAGACGCTGGGGAGAAGAGAAGGGGATATTGGACCCCATTACTGGGAGCTCAAGGGGGTTATTGTGAGTCTTGCCTGGAGAAGGGATAGAATCTCTTGACAGGCTAAAGGACCCCCCACACACACACCAAAGCCTTCACCATTATGAACAACACCTCCTCTCCTCTCAGGGTGCCAGGCTGACCCTGCACATGCAGAATCCCAAGACTCCTGCACTGGAGGTTGTGGGAGCACCTGTGAAACCATTTTACAGATGGAATCAAAGGTGTTAAGAAGTGCCCGAGGTACCCTGCTGTGAGGGCAAAGGGGGTGATCTAAACTATATCGGACCCATAGGGAATCATGGCATTCAGACAGTGGGGGAGGCGCTCAGGCTGACTGAAGGGGATTGGACACCCATCGAGGGGCCTCAGGAACTCTGGTGCTCAGCCAACAGCGCCCAGAGCCTCTTGTCTAGGGGGCTTCCTGGGAAACGTGGGGCCCACGGCAGCTCACACCACCTGCTTCTCTTCCTCTTTTGGGCCCTTACTCAGCAGGACCTTGTGTGCTGCCAGCTTGGGCCTCATGTGGTACTTCCGCTGTCCAGGAAACAGCTGTGGTTCATAGAAGACTCGACCCCCCTCCAGGGCCAGGCCAACTGCTGGGGCGCCCGATATAGGAGCCTGGTCCCAGCTTTTTGTACCTCTGCCTGGCCTCTGGCTAAAGAGTGCTGACCAGAGTCCAACAGGACCTGAAGCTGGAGCTAGGACAAGAAGCATCTGAGGAGCCTCTAAAGGTGGGGGTGCCGTTAATCTCTACTCCCCAGCATCTTCTGTTCAGAGGCGGCGGGCTCCCAGAGCTGAACAAGGTAGGCTGGGTTCCGGCTTGGGCCTCCCTGCTCTCCCCAGCCTCTGGCTTTTCACCTGTCCCTGCCGAGGTTTCCTAAGCTCATTCAACGGCTTGCTTGGTGTGTGCCACCCAGAGCTAGGGAGTAGTTTTGGGGTCAGATCTCAACACTCCTCTTCCTGGCTCTGTGTGTGGCTACGAGCAAGTTCCCACCCCCAGTCTCAGCTTCTCCCTCTGCCAGGGGGATGACAGCACCTGCCTTGTGGGAGAAGCACATGAGATAATGTGGAGAAGATGCTGGCACAGTGTTGGACCCCCATCAAGTACAGCTGTCCTTATTACTCTGTGTCCTGAGCTGGGGACATGGCAGAAGGCAAGACAGACCGGCTGTCCCCACCCAGCTGTCTTGGAGGAAAGAAGCTGCATCCTTGAGTGTTCCGTTTCCACTGTTGGCGTCAACTGATGCTGACTCATGGGAGCCCACGTGCCGCAGAAAAGAGCTTTCACACGGGGTTCTCTCGGCTGCACTCTTTGCAGACGTAGATCTCCAGGCCTTTCTTTCATGGTGCTGCCAGGCTGGTTTGACCAGCCAACTTCTCGATTAGTAGCCAAGAGCAAACCAAATGTGCCAGTAAGAGACCAATTTGTCTTCCAGACACGAGTGAAAGGGCCCTGTGAGCTCACTTGCTTTTGACACTTGCTGCCTCGCAGGAACTCCAGGGCTCCATGGGGGCTATTTCATTAGCCTTGGAGGGGACTGTCTTCCTGCTCTCCTGTCTGGGGAGACTGGGTCACACCGGGGTGGGAGCTCTAGTCTGGACAGATGGACAGAAGGAATGTGGGAGAGCCTTCTTTGGAGATGAACGAAGAGAGACACAAATTGTGGTAGGAAGGTAGGAGACACATTTGGGGATCAACAAAATGGGGTGAGCTGAAGGGATGGGCTTGCCGTAGAAGAGCTGAGAGAGCCCGCCCCCCGTCCCCGCCGCAGAATCCAGGGTGCTAGCTAGGGCCCAGGCCACCTGCAGACCCCACTCCCAGTCTCCAGGAGGTCCATATAGAATGAAAGGGGCTCCTGTGTCTTTTAAAACCAAGGGTCAAAGATTTTTAGAAATCTTAACCAGATACAGTTTTAGCAGTTGCAGAGGGACTGAAGCTGGGGAACCATTCCGAGACACCCCCACTCCGGTCTCTAGTGGGATGGTGGGCATTGCAGACTGGTGACAGTCAGCCTAGGCAATGAGTCAGCTGACTCCCTGGGCCTAGGTCTGACACCCCCTACTGGCCACTCGCCATGTGGACATGAGCCAAGGGCACCCTGAACTGCCTGTAGGCTCGAGCCCAGTCACGTGGGATGGGGGCCAATGCACAGGACCAAGGAGGTCTGTATTTGTCTGGCCCTGAGCTAGGAGAAGAAGGAGGCTGAGTGGGCATGTGGTTTGAATTATGTAGTACCTAAACCTGAGCTGGGAGCACACAGGCTGCCTGGATGGCCACTCTCTACCTACCAAGACCCCTGGGTGACTCCCCCAAACTCCCGAGAAGGCAGAGCCCCATGTTGCCAGTTCCCAAGCCCTGTGCCTGTCAAGCATCTGATCTTGGAAGCACAGCTCCCCAAATTAGTCCCTTCTGCAGACAGGGTCGGGGAGTCCTGGTAGGGTCGGGCAGTGGTACCTTGTTGGGGAGCCAGTGCAGGTGCCCCTCAACTCATTCAGGTTTGGATTCCTGTGGGGACCATCCCAAGTCCTATTGCCTCCAGGCCTTCTCCCACAGGTGGTTGTCCATACAATCAGACACTTGGCTTTGAGGCCAGACAGCCCTAGGTTCAAATCCAAGTTCTGCTCATTAGCTGAGCAGTCTGGGCCTCAGTCTCCTGTCTGTGCTGTGGGTTCAACACTCACTTCCAAGGGAATAAGGCAGAGCTACAGGGTCTTGAGCAAGATGAGGCTTTCCCAGGAAGGTGGCTACAGCCTTTTAGTTTACTTACTCTGGAATAAATAGCAGGATAACTTTTGTTTTCCAACCTAGGCTGCTGGTTTTCACTCTTCTCATGGTTCTTTTTGTTCAGTGGTCCTGCCTGGCACCCTGCTTCCTCCATCCCAGCCTACATCCACTGCACTGAGGGCCAGTGAGCTGGTGCTGGGGGAGTCCAGCCTGCCCCGGGCTTCCGGCTGGCGCTGCAGCTGGTGTGGGCACCATGCTAAGGAGAAAGCCAAGGGCAGGATGGGCAGCTTGGCAAGGTCTTGGCCAGTCCAGGGAGAGGAGAGGCCACCAATGAATGCCCAGACTTTACCAGCAGCCCAAGGGTGAGACCTGGTCAACAGCTCCTGCCCTTTGACCACAAGAACGCCCCAGGAGGCCTCATCTGGGCTTTTGCCCTGCAGAGCTACAGAGGTGGGCCTTGAGCTTCCTGAGAGGGGGTCCCTTTGGAAATAGCTCTGGGACATCTCATGGCACCTCTGGTGCTTCTACTCCCCATTGAGAAATCCTGCAGGCTAGGGGTCAGGAGTGGGGGCCTGGAATTGCTCCTGGGGCAGCACATTTTTCTCCTCTGAAAACTTTTCTTACCAAAGAGACCATGGAACAATCACACTCTTTTCCGGGCTGCTGCCGTCCCCAGACGCCAGCCCATCCCCTTGGTGGGGGCTCTGAGGGGGCCGGGAAGGCGAAATTTGTAAAATGTCTGTAGGAGGGGAAGAAAGGAGCTTTGTGTGGGGCCGGAGCCCTGGCCATTGGTCAGCAGCGAGGTCCCCCGGCTGCTCCCAGCATGCTCCCTCCCCGGGGAGGTCTGCGCTTGCCCAAGGGCCAGCCCTAGTGGTCACTGCGACCCTCACATCCCTGCACCCACTGTGCCCAGGGCCCCTGCTGCCAGCTTGTGAGGGCACCAGTGAGGGTCAGGCAGGCAGGGAGCTTCCCCAGGCCCAAGCATGTTTCTTTACTGGAAGAAGCGGGGCACCTACGAGCTGGAGGCCCTGCCCGCCACCCTGGGAGAGCTGGAGCTGGGCGCCGTGGAGCGCTTCTCCTGGAGCTCCAGCCTGGACATCATCGAAGACCTCAGGGGTAGGTGGGCCTGCCTGCTGGGACGGGACTGCAAGAGGCTCTAGGGCTGTCCACAGGGGACATGCCACTGTCAGAGTGGACTCTCAGTGTGGGGACCAGAGCTCTCTAGAGCTGCCACTGGGGGGGGGGAGACCAGTGAGGACCCTGGGACAGTGAGAACAGCTTAGAGTCCACAGCCGCAGGTGGGCAGTGGTAGCGGAGGCTCCACTAGGAGAGTGGGGGCTCCACCTCTGTCCTCCCACCTCTCCAAGGCCAGGCCACAGGGTTTCCCCAGGGCCCTCCAGGGTTCTCTCAGAATCATGTGGTAGGAGGAGCCCTTCTGGAATCTTCCTAGGTTCCAGTCCCCGGGATGAAGTTGATGTCATCTCTTACACCCATTTTCAAGATGATGAAACAGAGGTCCAGTGGGATGCAGCCCACAGACGGACAAGACAAGGTGGTGGTGAGCTCGCAGCCTGTGTTCCCATCATAGCCCTGCATGTCCCTAGGTGTGAGATGCCTCCAAAGTCCTGCACTGTCATGTCAAAGGAGAATAAGAGTCAGGTTCAGGCGCTTCCCTGGAGTGAGGCACCGGAAACACGCCACCCTTCACTTACAGAGGCCAAAACCCATACTTGCAATCAAGTCCATGCAGACTCACAATGACCCCACACATTACAGACTAGAAGTGCTCCGTGGCCTTTTCTTAGCTGTAATCTCTGGAAAGCAGGTCTGAGAGCCTGGTCCTCAGGGAGTCGTGCTGTTAACCAAAGGCGGTACCTCCCTGGCTCTTTGGATCCACCAGCAGCTTCAAGGGAATAAGATGGGCAATTTCCTCTCACGCAGTTCGTAACTTTCTCAAAACCCGCTGATGGATCAACTATGAGTCGGTCTCAACTTGAGGGCAATGAGGTTTTTTTGTTGTTGGGTTTTTTTTCCCACCCGCCCTGGTGTCCCCAGTTGCCACCGCCACTGCCCAGAAAAGCAAAGGGGGCAATGAGGTTTAAAAAACAAAAAATATGGAAGCAGATTTCCAGGCCTTTCCCTCACGGTACTGCTGGGCGAATTCCAACCAACCACCCTCAGCCTGGCAGTCTAATTGCTTAGTCATCACTGGCTGTAGTTATTACCGGTGTTTTGACTGGAGACCAGCGAATAAACTGTCCTTTCGAGCTGGGAGTCTCAGGTGGTCACTGAGGGTGCTTGGGTCACCAGTGACAGAGACCCTTGTCTGCTGTGCTGGGACCAAGCAAACAAAGAGGCCATGGGGAGGCCCAGGGATGGCTGAGAGGGCACTTGGTTCTCTTCTCGATTAGTGTCACCTGGGGACCCAGGGTCCAGCCTCCCCTAAGACACAGGCTCAGAAAACAGGCCCCTTCCCTGGGATAGGCTTCCCAGCCCATCCGGGCCCTGACTTGAACCCATCCCTGAGATCAGGGGTAGTGGAAAGAGGTGGGTGGGCGTGAGGCTCATTACGGAGGCAGGAGGGAGCCCCCAGACCACACAGGCTAGCTAGGACTGCTGCTCCCAGAGGCAAGAGGGTGCCTCCCGGTGGGGCGTATGTCACAGATGTCCCCTCGTGTGTGAGCCTCGTCACCTGAGAGCAGCTGATGGGAGGAGGTGACTGGTTGGTGGGGAAGGGCAAGAGCATGGCCCACCAGAGTGCCTGGAGGCAGGAGCCTTCGAGGGACCCTCTGTGGGCGTGTGGCAGGTAGAGGCATGAAGGGGGCCAGGTAGAATGGCAAACTTCTCTGCCCTCAGCCTCACTGGGTTACTGTTGGGGGCCGGAGGTTTGAGTGGACCTATGCTGGGCTTTGAGAGTCCTGCGCATATGCTGAGTGTGGCACCTTGTGGGTTAGGAGGCAGCTGAAGTCAGATAGTCAATCCGGCTATGGCCAGGGAATCCCCAGTAGAGACTAGTGAAGGAAGTGGTCCCTGGAGCTGCCATCCATCGAAGCTCTTTGGGCAGGTGGTGGGGCTGCAGGTCACAGAGGCCAGCCCATCCCAGTGGCTCTCTTGTCTGAGCTCTAGACCTTGAACATGGAGGAAGCCCCAGCTGGCCTTTTATCACTTGATATCACATCAATGACACTGTCCTGGCTCTCCAGGCAGGTGCCTCTCACTTCTGGATGCCTAAGTCCATGGCCCAGTGATTGCCGCTGCTCTGGGCAGCCACCCTTCAGCAACACCTCTGTCCGCACAGACTGAGGGTGCTCACCAGGTACCGAGGACCTTTTACCTTTTGGCACCTGGAGTCTTTGTATTAACTTTTTGTTTACTTCAAGGCTAGAAGCTCACCAGCTAAAGGTACCTTGGAAGAAAGACTTGGTGAATGAATCTACCTCTGACAAATTAACTAACTCATTAAGTCTGAATGAGCCCAACTGTTAAGTCAGAACCAAGTCATAACTGACCCTCCAGCAGGTTTTCAGAAGCTGTAACTCTCATGGGAGGAGATTGCCCATCTTTCTCCCTCGGAGCAGCTGGTAGATTTGAACTACCTACCTTTGCATTGGCAGCACTCTGAAATGGGGCCGCCAAGAGTCACAGTTGACTTGATGGTGACTGATTTTATTGATGGGAGGAGGAGGAGGAGGCTGAGAGCTGGTGAACAGTGACGACCATTCAGACACAAAGTCCATGCCCTCAGCTTGGAGCTCCAGGACCCAGGTGCCCAGGCAGGGCTGGCAATGAGACCCAGCACACCAGGCCGGATAACGGGTGTGTGAGCAGAACTCCAGGGTGAGCTGAGGCGCAGCGTGTGGGTGACAGGGCACACAGCTGTCTGTGTGGGCTCTGTCCTCTGGGGCTGGCCAGCACCTGGCGCAGGCCCAGGAAGGATGGGTGTTGAGCTCAGGCACAGCCCAGCCTGGGGGAATGGGTGCACAGCACGACCTTCCCTGACAGAATCTCACACTGGATTCTGCAGGCTAGCTCCTGGGCCTCCCTCAGGCCACTCTTGGTTCCTCTGAGAAGCCTCGAGGGGAAGCCTGTGGCCCAGTGGGCACGTGGGCAATGGCCACAGCAGCCATAGGCAGAGGGAACAGGCTGCTGGCCCAGGCCGGTGCACGGTATCTGAATGAGCAGTTTGCACACAGCCCCAGCAAAGACTTCCAAACGTGCTCTCCCACCTCTTCTCCTAAGCCTGGGGGTGTGGGTGGCAGGGCAGCGGATTGAGTCTCCAGGCCTAAGGGGGTGGTGCAAACAGGGCTGATGTCCTTCCTTTGACTGATCCCTTATCTGACTGCACTCCTCAAAATGCCCAATGTTCTAGGAAGAGGTTGGGGGCCTCCTCTGTTGCCCTGAGAGATGATTGAGAAAGGGGCAGCTGATTATTGATGGGTCAGCAGTCATTTCCCCAGGACATGATCCTCTGACTTGGGGCAGGCTTAGGTCAGATCCTGTCCTTCCCCAGGCTGCCCTGGTAAGGGATTCAAGCCTGGCTCAGCCTGTGGCAGCTGCCAGCCCACGGACAGGCTTCCCGAAGGGCTGGGCGTCGTGGGAGGGGGCATTCAAGGTCACAGCTGCTTCCTGGGAGGGGCAGCCTTTTCCTGGCCAGGCCTTGGGCTGGGGGTGGTGGGCAGGGAAATTCTGTGTTCTTGGGGCAGAAGTGTCCTCTGAGTGAGGGACTCACAGGATGAGAAGGAGGGTGATTTCCTGCTCCGTCATTGCAGCCTTGGCCCAGCTGGGGAAGGACACATTTTGTGATGGTGGGGGATGAATTAATGTTTACCAAGCTGGCCAGGAGCCCCATGGGTACTGTCCAGCAGTGGTCAGGAGCACAGGTTTTGACTCACAGAGACCTGGGTTCAAGTCCCAGCCTCATCATGCATTTGACCTTGAGCAAGTCTCTTAAGCGTCTGAGTCCCAATATCCCTCTCTGTAGAATGGGGACAGTGATTACACCTCCTCTCTCAATTGTTTTCCGCAGTGCTGTCCAGTAAACGTGTTGCTGTTGTTATGTGCCGTTGAGGGGGCTATGACTTATAGTGAACAGATCTGAACCTTGCCTATCCTGTGCTATTTCCACTCTCTCTGATAACAGCCCTCTGTTAACAGTCACTGGGTCAGTCTATCCTGGTGAGAGTCTTCTCCTTGCCTTCTCTTTCACCTTGCCCAGGATTTTCCAAGGATGGTCTTTTCTGACAACATGCCCAAAGTGTTTGAGACAGAGTTTCACCTTCCTTGAGTCTAAGGAGCATCCTTTCCTCCCTTTCTTCAAGACAGACTTGTTTGTTCTTTTTGAAGCCTGTGGAATATTCAGTATTCTTTGTCACAGCCACTACTCAGAGATACCAATTCTTCTGTCTTCCTTCTTCATTGCCCAGCTTTCAGATGCGCAGGAAGCTATTGAAAATATCATGACTTGAATCAGACTCATGTTAGTTTCTAAGCTAATATCCTTGATCTTTAGCACTTGGGAGAAGTCCTTGACAGCAGATTACTCCAATGCAATCTGTCTTTTGATTTCTTTCTTTTTAACTTTTTACTTTAATTGAGTTTTGGGGTTTTTTTTTTTATTCAATCATTAATGTGTCTATTTGGCCATCCAAATGTCTTCCTCTGTAAAAGTTTTTTCCATGTTTATTGCCCATTTTGTAATTGAGTTGTCTTTTTTTTAATTGAGTTTTTTTTTTAATTTTTTTTTATTGTTTTATTTTTACGTGTACCGTTAAATCAGATCTGACTGTTACAGGAGGAGATTGCCCCCTCCTTCTCCAGCAGAACATCTGGTGGATTTGAACCACGTACCTCTGGGATTGCAGTGCAGCATCTTGCCACTAGGCCACCAGAGCTCCCTTAATTGAGTTTTTAACAAAAGTTTACAGAAAAGTTGAAATTTCTTTCATTCATTGTTGCACATTGTCCTCCCTCCCCCTCCTCCAGTTCTCTTTCTTTTTTTTCTTTTTAATATCCATTCATTGTTACACAATTTCCTCCAACCTCCTCCTTCCCCAACCCTCCCCCAGTCCTCTTTGCAATATACCTTTTATTCTGGACCACTGTCTTACATATAATGCCTGATTATATATTCCTTTTAGACAGTTCTCTCCCTTATCTGTTG